CGTACAACAGTATATGTAAACTATGGAAACAAACGTATGTATAAAAAAGATGAACTGCAGGGAATGATCATCAAGAAGCTTAATTTAAAAAAAGAAATTTAATTAAAGTAGTTCCTTTTCAAGTGTGTGGAATCAAAGAGGGAAATGTAGAAAAATTCAACTGTATATATAAAGTTTATAAAGAATAAAAGATTGCAGAAACTCCTCTTTCCATATAGAGCTATAATAATAGATCTGAAGCAAATGTGACAAAATGTTAAGATCTGGCAAAGCTAGGTGATGGATACAAGGGTGTTTTTTGTATTGTTCCCTATATTTTTCTGCATGTTTAAATTATTTGATGATATAAAAAGAGACAACCCAAGAGGATTCGGTTCTCCTCTACTTGGTAAATGAGCTATTTTCTGTGAACCTAGACATAATACAAATTTAAGACAAATCTTAAAGCTACAGTGACTACTACAATGGTACTAAATATTCAGTTATATGTTCTACATTTTGTAGATGTGTATGGAGATAATATATTCCTAGTTAATACTTTCAGTTGTCACTAGTGAGTGTATACGGTCTTCTGTTAGATTAAGCTATTGCTACTTGTTGTAAATGCATACGTTTTGACATAAACTAAAAACTGGGATGGGCTCAATTAAGCCAGTACTCTTTCCTGGGTGAAGGTAAATAATCTGCCTCCAAGTAACCTAGTTTCCTTTTTCACGAGCAATAACTGCCATTGGTGATTGAACCAGCCACTGTGTAGTCTCTTTTAAAAACAAGCCAAGCTTTTTATTTTTTTCCTACCCATGATCGGAGATTCTCTTCATTACCCCAGTCTTTGGAAGGGTTCTGAAGTTGGGGAAATTCATGTACGTGCTGCAAGACTTTCCCAAGACTCGGCAGAAGAGTGCTTGAAACTCGAAACAGGGGAGAGCTGCAGAGGGGCTAATTAAGGCAGTAGTGTCTGGCAACTGAGCTCTCTACCTTCAAACTGAGTTCACAGTGGCCCACACCATTTATACATAAATCAACAACCAAAACAGAATTTGCTCAAAAATCACACTCACGCTTACTTTAAGGAATGTACTCTGATATTCCTTATTCTAGTATCTTGTGTATCAGTAGAAAACTGCCTGTTAAAATACCCTGTATTGATTTCACAGTCCCCAGTGATGCACATACTGGAAAGTTGTTCATGAATTATTTCTATGACTGTTGTGTTCAAAAGTCCTACATTCCACAAACATAATCAAGTTCTTTTAGAAACCTTTTATTATTCTACTCCTAGGGAGAATTTTTTCCTATGGAAAATTCTTATCAATGGAAATATTATTTTTAAATCAATGGTAAAGCATTATAGGGTAAGAGAACACTAAAGTAGATATGGTTTCTTATATAATTTCTACCTTATCTCTATAATCCTGCACCCCAACGCTGCTTGCCTGGGGGAAAAAAAGCCAAATGAGGAAACTTATTCGTAGACAGGAGTGAAAATGGCCACGGCATAATGACATGGAACAGCATTTTACTTATTATAAATGAAGTGACAGGGAACTAAACCCAGAATTTACCAAAGTCAACTTGAAAAGAAAAGAGGATGGAATAATGATATAACAGTTTTGATTAATATAGCATTTAGCATCATATTTTTAAAGAACCATAGGTATTGGTATGTAATTCCATGGCTCACCCTTAGGGTAGGTCAATACCCAAATATACCCTACCAATTCCTTATGACTATCTTCTCCACAGTGTCCTAACTTCCAATTTACTTCAGCTAAAATATAGAGTAATAAATAATAAATATTTAATACATAAAACATTTCACCAAACAATTGTAGAACTGTCTTCAGGGAGAGACATCTGGAACTATACCCGATTCACTGTTTGCTGAACTTACCTCTCAGTGCATCTCTAGAAATGTTTCTATAGAACTTCCTTAACAACTCAAATTCTCTTGCTCAATTAATTCCACTTTGTGTGTAAAGGCCTCTCAAATGTTATCATCAATTTAACTTGAACACTATGAAAATACAGGTGCAAGGTCTGAAAGACCAGCTTTTTGAAGCTGACACTGATTCAGGATTATGAGGTCAAGGAGGCAAGTAAAACATGAGTTCAGTCATATTCATGTCTATCTTGTGTATTTTTGTTCCGTGATTTGTATTTTGTTATTCTGTACTTCCACTAGGGGTGAAAGCCTGAAGTTATGAGGGTTGTTTGCTTCTGTTACAGGTTTAATAGCATCTGTCATCTAACAATACCCAGCAATGAGGTTCCTGAATGAATTACCTAGATTATATTGAACTTCCCATTTTTAGCTTCTTTTTAAAAATGTAATTGTTTTATAAAAATCTTTTCCAAACACGTAATGATCATTAAATTCTAGTAATGGTTCAAAACTTTCATATGTTACTAATTTTCTAACCTTTGTAAAGAGAGAATAGTATTTTCTCTATGCCAAGGATCAGTACGAAGATGAATTATTTTGCTGTAGAAATCTGTAATATGTTGAAGAAACAAGGGGCTGATAAATGTGGCTGCCCATTGGAATCACCTGGAAAACTTTAAAAAAGTACTGAGCAGATTCTTCATTACTGGGTGCGGGGGCAGTTAGGCATCAAATGTTCTAAAAGCGCCACAGCTAATTATAATATGCACCAAGTTTGAGAACCACTGATCTAAATATTTGATACTCAGTGAAAGATCTGAGACTGGCAAGCATCAGCTTTACCTGGAAGTTTGTTAGAAAAGCAGAAGCTTAACTCTATCCACAGTATCAGGAACACATCCAGAATTCTTTTTCTATGAAAACAAGGGACCAGAACTTTTCCATCCTTTCCAACTTTAACATTCACATTCTATAACCTAAATATGATACTGAGAAGCACTTTTAAACTTAGCTAGAATTCTTAACCCATATAAAATTAGAGACCATTCCATTCTCTCCAATTCCACAATTCTCCTACCAAAAACCTAAATAAATGCAATGCTGAAGAATTTGAAAAATTGTGTCATAATTCCATCCTCATACCTTTCCATGCACATTCTCCTGCCTAGAATTCCTGTTTCCTTTCTCTTTCCTTATTGGAACACATCATTCAAGACCCAGGTAAAATCCTACCTCCTTTACGAAGCACGGCCTGAAAAATAACAGCTTTTCTCTAAAATTCTATTGTTGGTATAATCAATTCCATAGAGTTTAGTACATTGTTTCTTTCTATTATGACTTATATATTATCTTGTTTTCCAATCAAATGATGAGTGTCTCCAGTGAGAAATCACGTTATGTTCCTTTTCTAGCCTAACTTAATGTCGAACCTTAGTGAGTTATATGTTGTTAAAATGTATATGGGAAATAAAGTAAGTTTTTACCACTCTCACGGATTCCTTATTCAAAACTAGCCCATTATTAACCTTTCCACATAATGTAAATTCATAATGTAAACATCTTACAGGTTCTTGAATATCTAGGTAAATCACAATTGGCTATGACTTTAGACTCCTACTCTTTTCTTCCTGCTTCCCTGAGGCTTGCCAGCCTGAGGATAAAACTGCTTGAAATAGCATAGAAACTCTACAGAACAAGCCTCTGCTAAATAGTCCTAGAGTATACCTATAGTCGACCTCTCATATTCTTTAGCTTCATGCCTGTCTTACTCACCATTACGTCTCTATCATAGTGTTTGGCGCATGGTGGACATATAAGCAAATTATAAACAGTCTGTCAACAAACTATGTAGGAACAGGCAATTTTGAAAATATACTGCTGAGCTCATGACAAAATTTAGAAGTATGATTTTTCTTGTAGTAGCTCCTCTATAATTTTTCTTGATACGTATATATTTCTTTTTTTTTAAGATTTTATTTATTTGACAGAGAGAAAGGGAGAGCACAAGCAGGGGGAGCAGCAGACAGAGGGAGAGGGAGAAGCAGGCTTCCCGCTGAGCAAGGAGCCTGATGTGGGACTCGATCCCAGGACCCTGGGATCATGACCTGAGCCAAAGGCAGACACTTAACGACTGAGGCACCCAGGAGCTCTATATATTTCTTTTTATGACACAAATAACACAGTCATTGTAGGGCGCCTGGGTGGCTCAATCGTTAAGCATCTGCCTTCCGCTCAGGTCATGATCCCGGGGTCCTGGAATTGAGTCCTGCATCGGGCTCCCTGCTCAGCAAGGAGTCTGCATCTCCCTCTGCCCCTGCCCCGGCTCGTATTCTCTCTCAATCTCTCTCTCAAAAATAAATAAAATCTTAAAAAAAACCCAAAAAATAAAAACAAAAAAACCCCACAGTCATTGTAGACAACACAGATTAAGTAAAATGAAAAAACGATGTAATACCTGAAATTGCCTAACTATTGTTAACAGGTACATGTCTGTCCAGACCATATATATATACACACACAAATAAATACATATATATTTATATATATAAGCTATATATACTATTTTACATATATAATATGTGTATACATATATATACATATATACTATTAAACCCATGTACTGTTTTAAGCAGAAGATCACACTCGGTCAACTACTATGTACTCTGCTTTTATTCAATTAAGCATATATCAAAGCATCACTCCAGCCAACAAATCAATTCATAATAAAATTTGTTTATGATGGTTGCATTAACGGATGTGCCAAAATTTATTTAATCAATTACCTAGGCTTGGAAGATTATGTTATTTCTACTTTCGCTAATTATAAACAAAGCTATGATCAACAATCTCTATTACCAATTGTCCAAAAATTTCCTTAGAATAAAAATCAGGAAGCAGGTTTGCTGATTTTAAAAGTTAGGCACATTTTTAGGGCTTAAGATAAAACAATTTACCAAATGGACCTTTAGAAGTTTGTTACAAATGTGCTCTCTTGCCAGGGGATGAAAATTGTCTAAAACATTTAATCAGCAATGCAGCCAGCTCTATTCTTGGCTATAATATTTATTAAATAGTTACACAGTGTGAATAATTGATGCAGTTGGAAAATACTCACGTTCTTTTTGAGGATCGATTTCAGGTTGGAATGATCGAAACTCATAATATGGTATCTCACGTTTGAATATGGATGTAAGAATATCATCAAGTTCATCAATGTCTTTCTGTTTTCAAATGAAAAGGAAACTTTTCTTAGTTCAATTATTTACATAGAAACTCATCTTAGTGCAACATAATAAAAATTATTAGCTGGAGTAAATATTGGTTAATATTTCTAATAAGACTAACACCTCTTTTGAAAAGTACAAAACATTAGGGGCTTGACTAAAACTCAGTTATTTTTTTTTAATTATTTATTTATTTGAGAGAGTGAGAGAGAGAGCATGAGCTGAGGGAGGAGCAGAGAGAGCGGGAGAAGCAGACTCCCCACTGAGCAGGACCCTGGGATCATGACCTGAGCTGAAGACAGATGCTTAACCAACTGAATCACCCAGGTGCCCCTAAAAGTCAGTTATTAAAACAACGGAAAAATAGATGCAATAAATAAAAGCTTTTGTGTCTGGGTGAATAACTTTATTTAAATATTTACTAATTTTAACAAAGCATTACAGCAGATCAATGATAACACTGGAATTTGTTTCAAAAATAAATTCTGTTAAAATACATGTTACATTATAATAAATGAGGTAATAAAATGATGAGTCTGGTTTTTCAACTTAAAGATCAGAAATGGTACAGTTTTAAACTGATTATTTCATTCCTATGTTAAAATGAGGGAGAATATTCATCTTGGTCTCCCTCTACCCCCAGCTATAGAATATATGTCTACTCTATTTCCCTAGACTGAGCATTTTCGGATGAGCCATGTAGACTCATACTATCGGGGGCAAACCCATTACGGACGCACCATTCTTTTAAAATTGTATTTTGTGAGCTATTGACTGTGACCAATTTGACTTGAGACATAGATAACTGTATCTGAGGAGGTGGGCCAATCAACAAAGCCATCAAGTAGAGAGAGGTTTGTGGAACAAAAGTTCCTAATTAAGATTTTTGTATGATTTCCAAATAAAATTAGACTTCTTACCAATACACAGCCACAGAAATTAAATGCCTGGATTGACAAAAAAAAAAGACATTTTTGTTACTCTATTTCTTTCAATAAATCTGCATGCCTTAAATAATAAAGTGGTTCAGGCTTCTCTGGATTTTTAAAAGTCCTCCTTAAAAGTGGGGAGAGATGATGAAAGTCTTCTCAACTTATAGCTATAGAATGCTAAGCAAAAACAACATTAATCTTCTTCATGCTATGGCTACGGACTATGTGAGGCCATTAGCTCTGGAGCATTTTTTTTTTTTTAAAGGGAGGAGAGTCAACAATAAGTTCTGCCTTCAAGAAATTCATGGTCATCTAATTACATATGGGCAATGAATTGAGTTCTAGGTACTATGATAGAAAATCTTCATGGGTCAAGTACAGTGCAGGCAAAAGGGAGATAGCTCAATTCCACACAGGATGCAATGGTCAGAAAAGGCTGAATAGGGGAGATGAGCTAAACTGAGATTGCCATGCATATAAAGAGCATTCTGGACTAAAGGAACAAATTGCATATAGTCATGGAGATATCATAAAGCATGATCTGGTTAAGGATTTTAGGAATTTCCATAAAACTGCAGAAGAATGAGAGAGAAGGAAGTGGGCATTTCAAAAAGTGTTTTGTATATCTAATAAAAAGTTTGTAATTCATCCTGTGAGAAACAAGGAGTTGTTTAAGGCCTATAATAATTAACATGGAAATGTTTATTATGTGGATTAAATTAGGCTTATTGACATTACTGGCAATATATTTACCCTTTCTGTATACTAAAGCTAAAAAAGAACATGTCTCAGCTATACGAACTAATGAAAGAGACCATGAAAATATTAAAATCATAACATTAGTTTATAAATTTTTTAAAAAAATTGTGCCATTGGCCACGAGAGTTCTGCATAGGCTATTATCTAGTTAATGATATCTGTAGGAGGAGATAGACTTAGTATTTCTTCCCCAAAGTATACAAGATTTAATGTGGACAGATTGGTGTGTCATTGAATCACCACACTCACGTATAAGTTAGGCATAAGATCACCTCTGAGATTCCTTCCAGTTCTGAGATTCTGAGACACAGATGAGAATTCAAAACAGCAAGAGTTCCCAGTAAGAATCTGAGAAGTACCATTTCTTCCCCTGGGGCACTGTGACACTTTAACGTGAGAAATGCTACCGCTTATAACACTGAATTTAAAAAATGCAGTAGCAGTGTTTTTAAAATCAGAAGAAGAAAAAAACCTTCACCATGTGGACAATTATTTAATTAGGAAAGAATATAGATACCTTTTAATATTCCAGTCTACCATAACTAGTTGAATCACGTCTATTTTCCATTTCACAATTATATTACTATTATTATGCCTACAAAAAAAATGGTATAGGACACAAAACAAACATATGAAAAATCACAGAAATGGCTATTAAAAATAAGCCCCAAAGGATCTCTCCCCAGAAGATATCCTAACTAGAAAAATCTGATATGAGCAGTTATGCTTATTTTTAAATTTCAAGGACACAAATAGGCATCCTTTCTAAACACTGACACTGAAATTCAAAAATACCATAAATTTTCCTCTCCTTAAAATAAATTGTGCAACCTAAAACATAATGAGATTGATACAATGGTTGTTCAAATAAAGAGATTAAAATAGAGTATCTTAACATTTATTCAGCAACACTTACAACCATCCTAAGTTTTTAGTTATTAAGGAGCATGTGAAAATTAGAGTAGAATGAAATGATAAAATTATGTTGACACTGGTATTTGGTTATAAGAAAAATTATGTATATATAAATAATATAAACATATATACATATATACATATATATGCATATATACATATGCATTTTTGCTTAGATCTATACCTATCAAGAATATTAGAAAAAGAATTCAGAAAAAACTAAGGTATGACAGAAAGATACTACAAAATAATAACTTTGTACATATGAAATAAGTATATAACTTTTTCCAGAAGTCTTTCAGTGTCATGTGAGGAAATGTGGGATTAATTAATGTACTTTTAAAAAAATTATTCACATACATATTTATAAATCACGACTCTATCTGAATCTGAGGATACATATATATGTGTGTATATATATAGTTATTCCCGATAAACAACTTTATTATAATAAGTATTTCTTCCTAAAAGAGAAAAATATATAAAATATCTGCTTTAAAAGATATTTAGAATTATGGAATTCCACTTCTGAGAAGATGGAGTAGTTGTACTTTCTCCTTTTCTTCTACTTCAATACAACTAAAATGTCCACATTTTAATAGAAAATCAATGGTTATACCAAGAACCTAACTGAATAAAAAGAGACAATCAATAAATGTCAATACCTAGAGGACAAAGATTTTAGAATTACCTGAAAAGATATTAAGACAGTCATGATAAAAAGCTTCAACAAGCAAATACAATAATTCTTGAAATAATTTTTTTTAAAAAAGCTTCAGCAAGGAAATACAAAGTTTTGGGAGAGAAATAGAAAGTATAAAAAAGAATCAATTGGGATTTTTAGAACTGAAAAATACAATCATCAAAATAAAACCTCCTGTGGATGGGCTCAACAGCATAATGCAAGGGGCAAAGGAAAGAATCAGTGAACTTGGAGATAGAACAATGAAAGATACTCAATCTCAACAACAGAGACAAAGAAGACTAAAAAAAAAAAAATAAACAGTGTCAGGGACCTGTGAGATTATAACAAAAGATTTAACATTCCTGTGATCAGAATCCCAGGAGGAGAGAAGAAAGAGGATAGGCATGAAAAAATACACAAAGAGATAATGGCTGATAACTTCCTGGATTTAGCAAGAGATAAACCTACAGACTGAAGAAACTGAGCAAACCATAAACAGGGTAAAGCCAAAGAATTCCATTCCAAGAAACATCATAGTTATACTTCTGAACATTAAAGACAAAGAAAAAAATTTGAATGAGAAAACAATACCTTACCCTATAGGATAAAAACAATTAGAAACATAGTAGTAGTAGTAGAAAGAAGTGGCACACTATTTGTCAAAAATTAAAAGAAGAGAACTATTAACCAAGAATCTTACGCCCAGCACAAGCATTTTTTAAGAATGAAGTGGAAATCATGACATTCTCAAATGAAGGAAAAGAGAAAATCTGTTGCCAGCAGATGTACCCTACAACAATGGATAAAAGAAGTTCTTTAAACAGTAAGAATATGATAAAAGAAAGAATTCTGGAACATGAAGAAGGAAGAAAGAACATAGCAAGTAAAAAATATAGGTAAATACAATGGGCTCCCACTTCAAGAACCTAACAACAACAACAAAAAAATTAGAACAAACTGAAAGCAAGCAGAAAGAAGAAAATTATAACTATAATGCAGAAATCAATGAAAGAGAAAACATAAAATAGAAAAAAGTCAATATAACAAAGAGATAATTTTTTTTTTTAAAGATTTTATTTATTTATTTGAGAGAGAGAATGAGAT